CATATCATATCATATCATATCATATCACATCATATCATATCATACCATATCATATCATATCATATCATATCATATCATATCATATCATATCATATCATATCATATCATATCATATCATATCATATCATATATATAGTTACATCTTTGTACATACATACAGTGTGTATATATATATATATACATATATATATATATATGTATGTGCATATATATATATATACACATGTTCATATGTATACACAGTATGTATATATATATATATATATATGAATATATATATATATATACAATATACTACACCAACACATTATCTATACACACATGCGCAACGACACATAGACATAGTAAGACCCGAGCACAAATCGCCACACGAGGGGCCTTGAACCCTGAAGCACAACACACAAACAGACCGAAGCCCGGAACCCCAAATCTTAGGCCCTTAGGGTTTAGGGAGTTACCTATACTATTTTGGGGGGTTCCTTATTATGATTATAGCATAATGGGCCCCAAAACCCTATTCTAATTGTTAGGGCCCCTATAGTAACCCCCTAATCAGACCACAACCCAAACATCTAAACCCTTGCAGCACTCGGTTAAACTCTGTAAAGCTTAAAACCAACAGCTCACAGGTCTTAAAGACAGATTTACCAGACCGTAAGACCTCAATATCTAACTCCTCAACACTGAACCCAATGCCCTAAACCCTAAAACTGTCAAGGCTTCCTGGGGCCTCGCATTGGCCGGTTCCCCACGTACCGCACATGGAAACGGCCATGGAGTGAACCTCGCACGAACACTGAGGTGTCGATTTGCTTGGAGGGCTTTGGGGTTCAGCGTTTGAGTAAGCTTGTTTAAAGGTTTACGGGTCTCGAGGTGTAGGGCCTATAGGGTTTGGGTTTTTTGGGGTTTAGGTCTCAAGGCTGTTGGGGTGGAGTTTTGCTCTTGGACAAACACAGAAAATTCAACAGACACCTTAGCAGCCTTAACACAGCACAAACTCTGAGCCCTAAACTCAACTAGCGTCCCATCCTAAAGTCTTAAACCCAAACCCCTAATCCCTGATCCCTTAACCTACACCCTAAACCCTAAACCCCTAAACCCAAACCCCAAATCCCTAAATCCTAAACCCTAGACCCCTAAACCCTAAACCCAAACCCCAAATCCCAAACCCTGAACCACAAATGCGAATTCCCTAAGCCCGAAGCCACCGAGTTCTTCTTCCTGGAGAAGCGCCGCGATGAGTACTACAGAGAACCTGAGGAGTGCTCGGGTTAATTTCCGTATATATACATATATATATATATATATGTATACACATATATAAATATAAATAAATATGTATATATATATATATATACACATCCATACATACATACATACATACATACATACATACATACATACATACACACATACATATGCTGTGTATATATATATATATGTATGTATATAAAGATAACATCAACAAAGGATGCAAAACTAGCATCAGCAGCAGCAGCATCAGCAGCAGCAACAATAGCAGCAGCAGCAGCAGCAGCAGCAGCAGCAGCAGCAGCAATAGCAGCAGCAGCAGTTGCAGCAGCAGCAG